TTTTGCCACGTCACTTTCTTATCTTATCTACACAATCCAGCGCTATGCTTAATGATTTTATGCTCCAGAGATATATGCTCCTTAGATATATACAAAGTTTTCGCTTCTAATACCTCAACAGAGCTGATTTATGTAGGAAGACATTCTAGAAATTCTGCTCTGAATTATTACAGTGATAAAGAAAATATTTATTTTGATGACTTCGGTCGAGCGAGATGACTTTAGATTAAGGTGTAATGGATTACGGTGTTGATGAAGACAGTAACAATTTATTTGGAAAATAATTTCAAAAATGTAATTAAATAAGAACCGATTAACAATTTTATATGCTTTTCTAATTGGTTAGTAGATTTTGTTAAGGAACTAACATTTATTGGAAAAATTTTAATCAAAAATTCTTGCCGATAAAAAAAATTCAAATTTGTTTATGATTATGTGACAAAACAATAAAAAGAAAATTAGATCTTTTCTCTAAAAAATAGAAATTTGGATTTAAGGCAGTTAATTATATAGTAATATTGGACAATGTAAAATTTAATTTTATTTGCCAATACAAAAAAAGGGCTAATAAGTTCTGGCGCGGTAAATAGTGTAGAGATAATTCAAATTATTATATGATAAGTAATATTAATTTATTTAGCATATATTCAGCTTCTTTTCAGGCTATCTTTAGTATAGTAAATACATTTTCTTATATATAAAATGGAGGAACAGTTCTCCAACAGCATAATTTTATTTTATTTTATTTACTATAAATTTGCTAAAGGATGAATAGACGGACATATCCTTGGAAGCATGCGTTATTTGAAAGCAGAGCAGTTATTTAACAACATATCTCGAGAATATTACATACTTTTATTTGTGTTTGCTGTTTATTCATGCTTAATATTTTCTGGCAAGAACCAATAGTCGAATTAAATGTTTGATGGTCCAAAGAAAATTACATGTTTTATCTACTCTCTATTCTATCTGCTTTGAATTTTTAATAAAGAAGGATTTTTGTAAAATCTCTTTTATGATATAGAAATTGAAAGAAGAAATGAAACAAAACTAATAAATATGTTAATTTAGAAATAAATTGAAAAATATATGTAACTGAATTAAAAATATTTATTTTAATTCTGCATTTACTTTTGAGTTTATCTATCGATATATCTACTAAATACTTATTCAATTAAAAAATTAATTAATTATTATTTTCGATATTAGAAATAGCAAATAAATTAAAAAATCTATAATTATAAACTCGTTATACATATATAATTACAAATATTATAGTATATTTATACTATAACTATAATAGATTGATTTATTATTTTTAGCTAGATGGATATTTTAATGTAGATCTTGTTTATTTCTCTTTAAATGTGTTTTTATTTCTTTAAGTATTATTTGACAATAATCTAAAAAATACCCCCAAGCGCGCGTTTATATATTCATCGAGATAAACTTGATCAGTTTGTTCGTCAAATGAAATATTATTCTGATATTGTGCTGCGCTAGATTTCGCGCTTCGCCGACGTCAACGTCGTTGTCGAAACAAATAACAATAATTGGACCACTTGTTCTGTAACGGGTTATCATCATGTACTCCTCCCTACTTTTGTCCTCGTACTGCGCAAGCACCCGCGTGCGCCACAGATGGTACGTTCACCGATTGGTCGATGCGCTTGTGCGTGTCCAAGATCATTGGCAGACTTATTCGCGCTCACATTTTTTTTTGACTCACATTTGAACTCCTCTATAAAATAGACTCACGAAAGTCACGCCAGGCACTTGTCGTGAGCGCGCGACAATACATATATATGTGGATTGATCGATTAGTTGTTAATTTATTTTTTTATTTTTATCAATTGTCATTTGTCGACAAGTGATCCTTATTCTATTAGCTTGTTATTTGATTGAAAATGCCGTTTGCGGAAACCATCAATGGTCACGATAGCTTCTCGGCTGTCAAATGGTTGACTAATAACGATGTGCTACAAACAAATGTAAAGGATGCACAACATACGTAAGTTTCATTTAAATTATTTCTTATGGAATTTCTAATACATATCTTAAAACGTTAAAATTCACAAGAAAATTCACTTATTTAAAAAGGTGTTTTTAAAAACAGCCAGAGATGTTTTGTAGAAACTTTATATTAAAAGTCTTTAATGTAC